TGTACTATTCTTTAGAATTCATGTGAAGGGGGTTATTGAATTGTTTTGTGATGTAGGGGGGGGCAGGGCATTTTGTTTAGATGTTAATTTAATTTTGCAAGCCACCATAAATAATGAATGGGTCCCTTAGTCCGGAAATTATTTTTACCTCCTCCCCCCTCTCCGTCGACAACATTTTCGGGAAAAATTTGTATGACTTGGTCAAAATCCTAGGAAATGTTGGTCAAAACATGACGACATCCCCCCCCCCCAATCTTGATGGCTTCGCGACGTCCCTGGATGGATTGCTTCCTACACAAAGCAGTCTGGAACACAAGTCAGTTCATATTGTACTATGATTGCCTGATTTTGTGACACAAAGAGTGGCACCATGTTGTCAGAACAAGCTGCCATGGCTTGTTTTGTGACATGAAATCAGACAACACAGTAAAACCCTAAGAACCTCGATTTTTCCAAGTTAGCCTAAACAGGTTCTTATGTGAATGGTGCTTACCTGACTTTTCATGTCACAAACTGTAATTATTTTTAGTATATTCAGTATTTTCAGGTGGGCATAAGCCCTTGAGTCGTATTCATGCCTATCCCCTTGGGGTTCTCTTTTAATGTATGTATATGTGTGTTAATAATAACCCACTAAATTAGTTAAAAAAAGAAAGATTCATTGATATAAATAAACATTTCATCAGTGTTTCTTGAGCATTCTGATGAGTTCTGATATAGAGCGAAACAAGCTTATATTTAGCAATTGTCCTCTGTCTTGATAAGACATGATGAACTAACGTGATCAATAGATTGACAAGAATTGTTGAAGTTAGTCCCCGAGCCGACGGCGCGACGCGCCGTGCGAGGGTACTAATTTCCCCCGGCTATTCACACCCGGGAAAACGAAAGCATTAGCGAAGTCTAAATCGTGGGTCACCAACGGTGTTCGAGTGTTGGGTGTGTGGTCATCCTCACTGATCTCAAAAATATGGCGGACTGTCATGAATAGTGGACGCTGATTGGTCCAATTTAAAGTTTGCATTATAACGACTGCATGACGACAGCGAAATAGCAAACATTTCTTGATTGGATGATTGATAAATTTCTTGCAAATATATTTCATTTTTGCTCGCATTTTTGCAAGATTTTGTAAATTTCAAAAGCTCTCTCAGAAAGAAACTGCGAAAGAATCGGCTGAAATCGGCGACGTTAACGGAAGTAAGTTTGTTTTAAATATTGATTTTATAATGCCTTTAAAACCCGACGGCCTTTGCGTATATGAAACAACTAAACAAGACAGCATATAATTTCAGTGTATCTTTAATATTGATTCCCTTAATTTATTATTATAGTGAATTTTTTAAATAAAAAGGAAAGCAAAGTTATTTGCATGCGAGAATTTGAAATCATTTTATTGCAAGCTCAAAGTTTATCGATATAAAAGCCATTTAATTAAAGGCAGTTTAGTTTTATAAAGAACACATTAAAAACGTTTTGTGAAGCG